GAGGCGTCTTGGGCCGTCTTGGGCCATCTTGAGGCCATCCTGGGCCATCTGTGGAGCATCTCTGCCCACCTCAGAGACATCTTGGGGCCATCTTGGGCCCTCTCGGGGCCATCGCCGCCGTCATGGGGGGCTGTGAGGATCTCTTGGGAGGCCTCTTGGAGGTGACTGTGGGGGTGTTTGGGGGCGTCTCGGGGGCCTCTGAGGCCCGATTTGGACCTCTCGGGGCCTCTTGGGGGCCTCCTGGAGCCTCTCGGGCACGCCTCGGGGGCTTCTGCAGGGATGTTGGGGCCACCTTGCAGCGGAGGTCTCAACAGGTCTGTCTGTGGTCCCCATCCTGGGCCGATGCCGCGCGACCCTGGGGCAGTCTTGGACGCTCTGACGACCGAGAATGCAGCCATACGAAGACCGTACAACCAGAACAGCTGGGATTTGACGGTCTGGACCTCCTGGGCCGCCCTCCGGGGCCTCCGGGCGGCCCAGGAGGCGCCCCATGGAGGGCTCCGGGATGGCCCCTGTGGCCGTTGTGAAACCGTGCTGGTCGTGCGCGCGTCACGTGGGGCTCCCCCCAAACGAGCGCGAGAGGAGCGCCCCGGAGCGCCGGGAGCGCCCGAGAGCGCCCGCAAGTCTCGGGGGTGGACAGATCTCCTACCCTGACACATCGATTAAGGAATCGGCCGTTTTCGGTTCGCGAGAGGGCGTCGCGGCCGTCCTTTTGCGGGTCCACGTCCGTCGTTTCGGTCCCAGGCCGTTTTCACGAAGGGGTGGCTTACGAAAGGGAGGCTTGTCCACCGCCGAATTTCTGCACGAACGAGATGGGCACGGAAAGAACGGGTACAATGCCCAACAGCAGGTCCTGTTCATTTTGAACCGGACTCGCTGTCCGCGCCGCCGCGGCCTGTGTCCATTTGAAACAGAAAAGGCCGCCTGCCCAACAGCGGCCGCTGTTGGTTTGGGACAACATTTGTTATTGGGCATTGTACACATTCTTTCGGTACCCAATTCGGGTGTCCAAAGAATTCACAGGACTCAGCACAGGGAGCTCGACGGGGCCCGAGGGCGCGCCGCTATCATGCCTCGGGGCGCGGTCGCGGAGGGGTGCGAGGCAGAGCGGCGGCCTCGTTGTCGTTCGGTCGCAAATTGTGGGAGCTGGGTATGCGTTATAGCGTCCGGGCCCTGAGGAAGGAACCTTTTTCGTTGGGGAGGGGCTCCGCGTTCCTTCAGTGTTTCGCAGCTTGCCTCAGGCTTTCCTTAGGTTTTTCGACAGGAAATAGAAGGTTAACTTATGGAAAAAAAGGGGCCTCGTTCCTTATTTTGGGTTCCTTAGGTCAACGCCCCGACTGTACCCTCTTTGATCCGTCCTCGGCGTCGACCAGCGCCTGGGAGTCGGTCTGGCAGGGCCGATTTCGCGTCGGCTAGCGTCGATTGTCGTCGATTGAGCGTCGATCTGGCGTCGACTAGCGTCGACTAGCGTCGGTTTGCGTCGATTCGTTAGAGCCGACAAGGTGGGTATAGAAGGCTCCCATGAAGTTGCCACCGAGGTGTCGACAGCGTGACGAAGACGATGCCGACGAGGAGGTGCTGCTCTGCCCTCGGCAAGGCACCGAGCGAGGCAGCGCAGTCTGCAGCGTCGCTGCAGCCGTGGTAGGCGCGCCCGCGTCGTGGCCAGCCTTTCGCTCAAAGACAGTGGAACTCGGAGCGCCCGCCGCGGACGGTGAAACAAGGTGCGCATCGAGTGCCTCGTTCGCGTCTTTGGGGCACAGTCGAGCGGAAGGTAACGGAGTAAGGAGGAGGAGAAGGAGGACGAGGAAGAGGAGGAGGAGGAGGACGAGAGGAGGAGGAGGAGGAGGAGGAGGAGGAGGAAGAGGAGGAGGAGGAGGAGGAGGAGGAGGACGAGGACGAGGAGGAGGAGGGGCACAGGGCGACCTCGGGCTATCGGGAGGGGGTCTTTGGTGTTCGTGCCGCTCCTGGGGTCCAGACCTGGGGATGTGTTCGTGGCGGGGACTCGGCGTGGCCTGAAACAGCCCCTTCTTCATTCATGCAGCGTGTCTCATGTCGGCCACGAGCGCGGGGGGGAAGTGAGAAGGGGCGGCCTTCTCAGAAGGCTCGGAAGTCCGCCAGCCTTCTGAGAAGTCTTCTAAGTCTTCCGGATGACGCCGAGCATTGTTATCAGGAGGCGCAGGGGCTTCTGAGAAGTCGGGCGGCCTTCTGAGAAGGCCTTCTCCGTTTCACTTCCCCCCCTCGCTCGCCGCCAATTGTTGTGGTGCGATGGCCGTTTCTGTTCCTTCGGTGGCTGGGCGTAGCGGTGAACATTCCTCCTGTCGCCTCAGGTTTGGGCATCCAGTTCTGACGGCCCCCAGGTCCGATCATCACGGGCTCCAGGAACCGACAGCGAGGGACGACCGCCGGATCCTGAAACCGAAATCGAGGGAAACGAAAACCGAATAATCATATCATTGGCGTTTTTTTTGAGCTGCACTGACAATGCCTCGCTCTCCTGGGGCTTTGCTGTGCTCTGGCTTGTTAACATGTGTCACGTGTGCGGAGTTGCAGTATCCATGCCGCGCTTCCCTGTGGCTTTGCTGCGTTCCTGCTCGCAACGCACACCGCCAGAGGCGGCAGAGAGCTTGAGAGATCCATCCGCAAAACATGTCCGTCGTCACACCAATCGGGGCCCCAAAAGCCACGCCCGCGCGGATGCCGGGATGAGCATCGTTTAACCGATCCCCATCCCCAGCGTCGTGGCCTGGGCCCCACTGTCCGATTTGCCCACCTAGGTGGAGATATAAGCCGTTCCCTTCGGGTTTCGAGGGGTGTATCCCCAACTGGGTTGGTAATTCGGTGGGGGTCTCGAAGGGGATGAGGATGGGGATGGAGGTCGGCTGAACGGTGCCGACGGGAGCCTCCGCCCTGCAGGAGCTGGCCACAAGGCGGGGCGGCTGGCCGCCGAGATGTGGTGCCGTGCCAGCCGCCCGAAGCTGGCGCCAGCACCAGGCGCCCAGCGGCGCTGCGGCCGGGGGGGGGGGGAGGAGCAGCGCGTGGGCCGTCGTGCCCAGACCCCCTCGCGCTGTGAGAGAAAATCACGGCGGGAGGTTTTTCAGTATATGTTCGGCCTCTGGGGGGGGGGGGCCCTTGCAGGGAGCGGCCTGAATAGGGAGCACTTGCTTCTCAAAAGGGGCTCGCTCGTTCCTTAGGGCTGCATGTGTTATTTATCGTTCCCTATGCGTTATCTACTGTTTATCGTTCCTTATGCGTCATTCCCTGGAAAAGAAAGGGGCTTCGTTCCTTATATTAATTGAATCGCTTCGCTCATTCCGCCGGCCCATTTCGCATGACTGAGCCTCTTGGGGCCGCTGGGGGGCCTCTTCAGCGTCGCTTGGGGGCCTCCTGAGGGCCTCTTGGGGGCTTTTGGGGCCTCTCAGGGGCCTCTTGAGGCCTCCTGGTGGGAGCTTCTTAAGGCCGAGGGCTCGAAGTTTTGTTTTGTGTTCCCCCTTGGGGGCATCGCTTGGGGCCCTCTTGGGCCCCTCTTGGGCCGTCTTGGATGCCTCTGGGGCCGTCTTGCAGCCCTCTTGGGCCATCTTGGGGCCTTCTTGGCAGCTTCTTGGGCCCTCTTCGGGCGATCTTGGGGGCCTCTTGGGCCGTCTTGGGGCGTCGGGAAGCCGAAAAGATGGACACGCCAAAATCTCCCAAAACCTAAAGAAAAGTAATGATTTTTGCCTATTGCGGCCCTCTGGGGAGTGCTCTTGGAGGCCTCTTGGGGCGTCTGGGGGCCATCTTGGGCGTCTTGGAACGATCGTGTGGCATCTCGGAGCACTCTTGAACCATCTTGGAGGGCTCTTGGCGGCCTCGTGGCCCTTCTTGGGGCTCTCTGGAGGGCCACGGGGGCGGCGCCCAGGAGGAAAACCATCTCTGACCCGAGTCTGCCGGGGATCGCCCGGGGTACTTTTCGTCCGGGGACCCCCAGGGGCCGCCCCGCGCGCGCGAAGTAGAAGTTAGCAGTTACCGGAGATCTTAGCACGCCTCTGGCCCGTTGGGCCGGCGAATTTATCGTTCCTAAGATCAGGCCGATGACTGTACCAGCCCCGGAAGCGTCAAAAAACGACTCAGGATGCTAAACCGTTCCTGGGGGAGGGGTCCAGAGACCTTTGGGGGTCGACGGTGTGAACAAAAATCACGGCGTCGGGGGTCTGGATGGAGAGCGGGCCTTGAGAGAAAGTCGGCGAAGGTCGAGGAATCGATCAGTGACGAAGCGGCTTGGCTTGCCCATGGGCCTACCAAATAATGTTCTTAGAGACTGTGGCGGTTTGCACGACATGATCTCGGAACCGTGTTGACCGAAACCGTCTTGATTTCGAGCATCGGCTGATTGTTTAAAGAACCTTGTTATTGTGTGCCGAGCATTCTTCTGTTATCAGAACATGTCGATGTAGGTCTATAGGAATGATGGGATGGTCGGTCTTTGCTCCAAAGAAAGGCGTCGCAACAACATATAATTGGAATTGCGCGAGGAGGTCTTGGACCTGCGCTGGAGCCCCTGGCGGCGCCTCCTGCGCCGCCCCCGGCGCGCTCCGCGCGCCAGGGAGGGGGTTCAGCGCAGATCCAAGAAATCCGCGCAGGGTTCCGACAGTTTACAGTCGGGCCGCTAAAGAAGATCCCTTTTCGTTTGAGTGGGCCTCAGTGTTCCCTCATTGTTTTACAGCTTGTCTTGGGTGTTCTTTAGGTGTTCTATGGAAGATCGAAGTTGAGCCTGTGAAAAAAAGGCCTTGTTACATGTGATCGGGCCCCTACTGCAATCCTCTGTCATCATTCCCACTGAGGGATCCTTCTTCTCTGTCGTCGTCGCCGTCGACATCCACTGGAGGAGCACAGAAACTGGGAGCGAAGCAAGGATGCGCGCCGGCGCACGTGAATTCGCACGGGCTTCGCTGGAGCGCACTGCGCGAGCGTTCGTGACAGGAGGGGGGCTTTCGCTCTCTAGACATCCGGTACACGTAACCTTTCCGGCTCGAGGGCCACGCCGAGCGTGGCGGGGGCGGGCGTTGGGCCGTCGAGAGCGGGCGCCCGCGCGGCCCGGAAGCACAGCCCAATGGGGAAGAAGGTCAAGAAGAAGTCCAAGAAGCAGCTGGAGGATGAGCTCGCAAAAGTATCCGGGTGCCTGCGGCAAGCTCCGCCGCCGCCCGCTGCCGCAGCGGTCGGTGCGGCGGCCGTGCGGGGCTTTGCCCAGGAGGTCGCAGCGTGTGGCAGCTCTCCTTCGCAGGAACCTCCAGGGCTACAGCACGTGACATGTATTCAACCTTCTTCCGATGAAGTCGTGAAACGTGGAGTTTCTTCCCCACACATCCTGAGGGGACCGTGGGGGGGAAAAAAAAAACAACAAAACACACGGTGGGAGAAACACACACACACACACACACACACACTCTGTGGGAAAAAAACACACTGTGTGTTTTTCCCACATACTGTATGTGTGTGTTTTTTTCCCACAGTGTGTGTGTGTGTGTGTGTGTGTGTTTGTCCCACGTGTGTGTTTTTGTATGTTTTGTTGTGTTTTGTTTTTGTCAGACCATCCTTGCTCTGGCTCTGGCTTCCCGCCTCCTCCTTCCCACACTGTCCACCGAGGAAGTCCCGGTGAAGCAGTGCCATTTGTCAAGGACCCGTGCCCTCAGACATCAATGCTCCGTCAATCCACCAGTCCTGTCAGCTCGGTCCCCAGACATCTGTCACCACCCACCAAACCACCCCAACCCAACCCAAAGGCCTCAATTTGCCCTCCATTTCCAGTGGGGGGGGGGTCGGGGAACATCGAGAAAACTTCATGTGGACCCCGTAACCCCCCCAACCCGAAATTCGGGTCTTCGGGTTGGGTTGGGGTGGTCTGGCAGGACTCGTTGGCCCCGGAGGCCTGGACCCCCCCCCCCCCCGGGGCGGGCTTCTCGTCCCCGGTCGTTTGCCTGGCGGCCCCGGGGCCCGGCGAGGGGCCCCCATGGAGGCCTCGTCCTCGTAGTGTCTTCACACGCAGGGCGTCATGATGCGTCTCTTGTCCGATGTGCTTTTCTGGCAACGTGCTCATTTCTGGCTCGTCCGAATGGGAGCTCCCGCTGCAGCGCCGCCCTCATCCCCGCGCTTCGATCGTTCAAGATCGTGCTTCTGCTGCAGCGCTGGCCTCGTTCCCGCGTCTCTGGACGGCACTTGGCATTCGAAAGCGCCCACATCGGGCAGGCACGGTTGCGGAGGACATGGAGCCAGCATTCCGGACAGGCCTTGTCCTCGTGTAGACGGGCCTTCTTATCATCCAAGTCATCCGGTGCTATGCTGCGGCATGCAATGCGAATGTTGTGTTGTGCACTGCTGTGCGATGCCACGCTTTGTGTTGCTATGCTGTGTGATGCACCGCTTCACTACGCAATGCCACGCCATGCTTTGACATGCTCTGCTCTGCCGCGCTCTTCTACGCCATGCTTTTCCACCCATCGCGTACCCTCTTGGGGTCATAGCCTTGCTCGACATCCGACTGTGCGAATAGATAGGAGATCTACGCCATAGTAAGGGATGGACCGACGGGTAGGATGTCAGATGTGACGCTAGCGTACAATGCTTGAAGCCTTCCCCTCTCCCCCTACCCCCTTGTGCGCGCCGCGAAGTAGTTCTGTCTGCCCTTCCAGGTTGGCCGCGCCAGGGATCCGTAAACCGTTTCACTTTTCAGGGCCGCGCTTGTCCCAGTCCACAAGTGTTGATCGTAACGTCTGCCCCTCCAGTGAGGCCGCGCCAGGGATCCGCAGAGCGTGTGATCTGCGGAGCGTGCCCTTTCATCTCTTCAAGTCCCGACAGTGGCGTCTTGCATCATCAGGCAGGCCACGCCAGACGGCGCCAGCCATCAGCAAACCGTGTGTTTCATCGGGGGCCGCACCCTTCTCGCCGCCCGTCCTGTCAGCACCGCCTACCCTCAAGGAAGGCCGCGCTGGACCGCGGCAGACACCAGCAGACCCTGCTGTTTCGAGAAGTTGCGCCCTTCTCATTTCCCCCACGGCGACGCTCACTCCAGGGGGGGCCTCATCATGGGCAGCGCAGGAGGCCATACATGGTATGTGCAATGCTTTCAGGTCTGCCGCTGCACCATTGCCTGCGACAAACCATGAGACTGTCGGAGGCGATTGCGGCTAGCATCCGCAGCGCTGGAGCCGTTCGTGACCCCAGGGAGGAGTCTCACGTGGGCGCAGCTCGCGAACACGATGCCAGATCGGGCGCATGCGCGCGAGCGCGAAGCCTTGAGCAGGCCTGAGCACGAGAAGTACTGGAAGATCATGGCGGGGAAATCACGAGACTGAGGCGGTTGTTCCGCGCAATGCCCTTACATACAGAGTTCTGTTTTGGTCGACCCCTTCCTATGTCATCGTTGATGGCTTAGTGGCTTATTCTGCCGCTCGGCTCGTGCTGCATCTTTCACGGTTCGTCCAGATTTCACGGGGCGTGTTTGGTTTTGTTTCGGACACCTCGGCTTGCACCAATGTGTCTGAGTCTGTCCCGGCAGGTCGATCGGAGAAGAGCCGTCAACCCCGCAGGGGCGTCGTTGGACATGCTGGCATGTCGAGGGGGGAGGAGGGGGGAGGGGGGCGGGGGTGGGGAGAGAGGGGAGGAGGGGTTTTCTGTTTTGGGCCCGTCAGGCTCCTAGGACTCATGCGGCCGAGCGGGACCACGAGGACAACGGGTTCCCTGGCACTTGAACCGATCATGGGAGAGGAGGAGGACGAGGCGGAGGCGGAGGAAGAGGAGGAGGAGGAGGAGGAGGAGGAGGAGGAGGAGGAGACGGAGAAGGAGACGGAGACGGGAGAGGAGGCGCGAGGGGAATCACGGGGCCCAGTTCTCATATCCGCGCGGTTCCGCTGGCCCACGCAGCCAGTTTCACGTCGCAGGGCTCGGCGGGGCCCTCGGGACACAGAGGAACGACGGTTTCTCGTGAGGGCCATGGCCCTCACGGGTCTGGCACAAGGCCATGAGGCTCAGGAGGAGGAGGGGGAGAAGGAGGAGGAGGAGGAGGAGGAGGACGCGGAGGAGAAGGAGGAGGAGGGGGCGGAGGAGGAGTAGGATGAGGCGGAGGAGGAGGCGGAGGAGGTAGAGTAGAAGGAGGAATGGGAGGACTCCTATGACCTAGGTGGGTAGCAATGAACGGGGACGCCCCGTGCTTGCCACCACCTAGATAGCACCAGGAAACTTACACCACACAGGTTGCACCACATGTGCTGTCTCATCGGGCTTCCTCGGCATGGTGTGCGCCCCATACAGCCTACACCGCACAGCTTACCACTCCGCCTGCACCACGTATGTGCGCCACATCTCTAGCACACCTCATAATATGCATATGCTGCGCGACCATATGGTTTTGTATACGTGTGTGAGTGTGTGCATGTATGTGCACATGGTTGCGCATGTACCTTGTACACCACCCTCTTGGCGACACGGAGTTGTACCATGTCTGATGGACCTGCGGGAGAGCGGTAGCGTCTCGGGGGGGAGACATTTCAATACACTAAAGGGACCGAAGCCCCTGCCTGAACCTAAACGGTTATGGAGGGGCTCGGGCTGGGGGAGTCTGTTCTCGCTTGGCTACTCTAGATCAACTCTGGCCGTCTTGCAGGCCCCAGAGGTTTGGCTTCCAAGCAACACTCCTATCCCACAGTCCACCACCTCCAGTACAAGGTTCAGGCAAGGTTGATATGTAAGGTCTAGAGCCTGCGCGCAGCGCTAGATATTTAGATCACGAAGATAAGCAACAGTTGGAACGCAAATCACTTGGCAGGCTTGGTCGGCTCCGGGTGACCTGGGCGGGCCATCGCCCGCAACAGCGTTGGTCTCAGTCGGTCGGGCCAGGCGGCCGACAGTTTCCAGTTGTGTGACCCTCGACCTCGGGTCACCCTCACAGATCTTGAGCGCTCGGTCTTTGTCTGCTATCACGAACTCCCCCTTCTGCGAAACCCTGCGCTGTAGATCGGCACAGCCGTTCCTCTTCGTCAGTGGGTCGTTGATATATCTGGTGCCGCTTGCCGTCCACCCACCTGAAGCTAGCCTCGCTGTCCTGCATGCTTTCTTGTTGAATCGTGATCTCCATGGCCGTCCTCCGTTGTTTACTGGGTCCAGCCGAAATCTTGCACAGGTGATCGCACAAACGCTTGCTGCCAGGGACCACGATCAGTGGATAGATTTGTTTGGCCGCGTGCGCCGTCTTCGGCGTCAGCCCAAGGAAAAACAATTGAGTGGCCAGCGACCTTAGACAGATGCCGTTCGCGAGCCCTCCATCGGCACCCAACGTCTCCAGCTCAAGGGACCTGGGTACCTTCCGATCCACACTATGAGACCCCCACGCCAGGAGAAATGTTGCCCAAGCTGCCCTTGCAGAGGCGGACGTCCCTGGCCACAAGGATGCACCCAGTCTGGCTGGCCGCGCTTGCCCGGGCCGCGTCGGGCAGGGCGAGGGAGGCCATGTGCTTCAGGCCGGCGGGCTGGATCCACAGGCGCGTGCGGGAGAAAGCGCTGCCGACGCGCAGGAGCCAGCTGCCCTCCAGGATGTCTGCCGCATTGCGCTTTGGAGACGTCCTCTGCAGTGGTGGGATCGGTCTGCTGCGGTCGGATCGTGCCGTTCGTCCCACGTAGTTCAGTGCAACCGCCACCGCACGCACGGCGGAGATCTCCTTCTCGTTGCACGTCTCGTTGGGCATGGCTCGGCGAGTCGCCGGGATGTTGATCAGCTGGATTTGCTCCACCAGTTCGTTCTGGTTGACCTTCTCGGACTTGTCTGGTAGCTGCTCCAGCTGCTTGCCCAGCCAATCGCCCCTGCCCTTCCAGTGCTTGCCAAACGGGAGCCGCTGCTTGATCTTCTCCATTGGTCGCTGGAAATGCTCAGCACCACTGTCGCATGCGTTGTCCACCACCAGGGCCAGGGATCGGCTGCACCTGTCGCCACCAGGCAGATAAAAAGCAGGCACGGGTCGCAGGAGCTCACCTTGAAGCCTGCTTTGTCTTTGAATTTCCTCCGCCGCACAGCATTTGTACCGCTGGAGCGAGGCGTCGCCGAGCCCATAGACGCAGACCAATATTCCCAGGCAGGTCCGGCTCCGCGAACCCCGCCGGCCAGGAGCTCGCAGTAGAGGGGGCCTTGC